ATGACCAAGTGATTTCACTCTTGGGTATATACCTGAATAAAACAAAAACACTAATTCTAAAAGATACATGCATTCCAATACTCAGCTGCATTACTTACAGTTGCCAAGATGTGAAAGCAACCTAAGTGTCCATCAAGAGTTGAAAGGATAAAGAAGAGATGGTATGTATGTATAAAATAGAATACTACTAAGCCATAAAAAACAAAATTTTGCCATTTGCAGCAACATGGATGGACTTGGAGGGTATAATGCTAAGTGAAATAAGTCAGACAGAGAAAGACAAATACTGCATGATATAGCTTATATATGGAATCTAAAAAATACAAAAAACTAGTAAATATAACAAAAATGTAGCAGACTCACAGATATAGAGAACAAACTAGTGGTTATGATGGTGGGGGCAATATAGGGGTGCAGGCATGGGATGTGCAAACTTTTGGTTGTAAGATAGGCTCAATAATGAATTGTACAACACAGGGAATATAGCTAATATTTTGTAATAGCTGTAAATTGAAAGTAACCTTTCAAAATTGTATAAAACATAGAAATAAATTTTAAAAATAAATAAAATTCTATATCCAGTGGAAAAAAAAGATTTCACAATGAAGGCAAAATAAAGATACTTTCAGAAAAAAGAAAAAGCTGAGGGAATTTTCTCCATAAGACTCCCCCTTCCACCCATTCACAAAATACATTTAATGAACTGCCAAAAAATGTTAGTGAGGATAGAGAAAAATTTTACAAGACATAAACTTGGATATATTTTAAGGAATGAAAAGCACTGGATAGACTATATATTTTAACAGATATAAAACAACAATAATTTTAAGTTTGTGGACTACTCAGGTAGATATAATTAGAAGTATATTATTTTAAATGTTCACTATATAAATATTTGTGGACTGCATCTAAAGTAATACTTAGAAATAAACAAATTCACATGCATATATTAGAAAAGGATATAATTAAATTAAGTGCTCTCAGTTTCCACATCAAGAAGGAATTAATGAAATGATAAAAATAAAAGTACAGAAAACTGAAATAATAGGAAAAGATAGAAATGAAAGAATATCAAGAAGCCAAAAAACTTTTCTTTGAAATGGTCAATATAATTGATAAATCTGAGTAAAAAATTTTAAAAAATAGATAATAAATACTTGATCATTATCAGGAATAATAGAAGAGGTATCACTGAGAATGCTACTCATAATATGAATATTATAAGAGCCTATAATGAACATTTATGTTAATTAATTCAATAAACTTAGACAAAATAGACCACTTCAAAATCACTACTTAAAAAAAACTGTCAAGAAAAATTACAAAATGTACAATATCCTGTATATTTAAAAAAATGAAATTCTCAAAATTTTCACAAACACGACTCTATATCCAGATTATTTCATTGATGAAATTTACAAAACATGTAAGGAAAAATACTAACAGTCTTACAGAAATTCTTTACAGAGGAGGAAGAAACATGCACAGAGGGAAAAAAAAAGAAAAAAAGCAATGGCACATTTCCTTCTCATTCACTGAAGTCTCTAATATGGTAAGAAATTTTACTTAGTGACAATGTGAAAGAACTCATTCAATGATGGCTCTAGGTAAAAATTCCACCAAGTCAAGGACTTGCTCATAACTGACCCCTTTTACTGACATTATGCAGTGTGGTGGCCAGAAATAAATAGTAAGTGATCAGTTGCAATTAACACTCATTCTACTCTAGGACTTTATTGATTGATCTAGTAACAAAAGCAATTATTGATAATACAAGTAAAAGTTTAGGAAATTTTAAAAAAAAGCAAAGGACATAAAAGCAAAAATAAACAAATGGGACCTAATTAAACTTAAAAGCTTTTGCACAGCAAAGGAAACCATCTACAAAATGAAGAAAATCTACTGATTGGGGGAAAATATTTGCAAATTACATAACTGTTAAGGGATTAATAGCCAACATATATAAACAGCCCATACAACACCATATCCAGAAAACAAACAACCTGATTAAAAACTGGACAGAAGACCTGGATAGACATTTTTCCAAAGAGGCAATGCAGATGGCCAACAGGCACATGAAAAGATGCTCCACATTGCTAATCATCAGGGAAATGCAAATCAAAACCACCATGAGAGATCACCTCACACTTGTCAGAATGACTACCATCAAAAAGAACACAAATAACAAATGTTTTGGCTAGGATGTGGGGAAAAGGAACCCTTGTACACTGTTGGTGGGAATGTAAATTGATGCAGCCAGTGTGGAAAACAGTATGGAGGTTTCTCAAAAAACTAAAAATATAACTACCATATGATACAGCAGTTTCACTCCTGGGTATATATTCATAAAAATTATAAACACTATTTCAAACAGAAACATGCACACAAATGTTCATAACAGCATTATATATAACTGCCAAAAATTGGAGGCAACCTATGTCCATCAACAAGTGAAAGGATAAAGAAGAGGTTGTACATACAGTCAATGGAACAGCACTCAGCCATAAAAAAGAATGAAATCTTGCCTTTTACAGCAGCATGGATGGACTTGGAGGGTATTATGCTAAGTGAACTAATTCAGACAGAGAAGGACATATACTGCATGATATCACTTATGTGTGGAATCTAAAAAAATACAACAAACTAGTGAATATAGCAAAAAAAATGAAGCAGGCTCACAGATATAGAGAAAAAACTAGTGGTTACCAGTGGGGAGATGGAAGGGGGAGAGGAAATATAGGGGTAAGGAATTAAGAGGTACAAACTATTACTTATAAAATAAGCTATAAAAATATTGAACAATATGGGGAATACAGTCAATATTTTATAGTAAGTATAAATGGAGTATGACCTTTAATAAGTGTGAACGCCTATTGTACACCTGTAACTTATATAATAAATAAATAAATAATTAAATAAATGCTTCTGTTTATGAAGGTCCATATTTTACTGCTGTTAGTGTTTAAAAATAAGCAAGGAAATATTATAATAATGTAGATAATACATCTCTTATCAACCTCAGAGCTGTGGTTTCCCTACAAAATGAAATGGGCAATTTAAAATATCTGTTGCTGAAAGCAGGTGTTAAAAAGTATTCAACAGCCTAAGTCAAATAAAGAAACATGTTTTAATAAAAATATGACACACTGTAATGTGTGGTTGGTGTCCAGCTGGATAGATCTCTAGGATTGGGAAATTAAACTAACACAACATTGTTAATCAACTGTACTCCAATATAAAATGAAAACTTAAAAAAAAAGAAAACGTGTGATTGGAAAAGGAGTTTTGTTTATACCTTTCCCATCTCACAAAGATTTTATTTATCTTGACTGATCTGGACGTCCCAGATTAAGGGTTGTACTGATGTGTGCAAATCAAAGGAGTCATCAATGAACTTAACATGGTACCTACAGAACTACATACAGCATGATGTATTCCTGAGGGGATCTTGGGTTGGGTCAAAACCTCACCTCATATATCCAGATTTGTACTAACAGTGAATGGATCCCAATTATCTAAAGGCAGGGGAAATCCTGTAATTCTTTACCTATCAAATCTTTCAATATCTTCCAGGGATGGATCAGAGAGAGAGAGAGGCCCATGTAATACTGATTATACTCCTCACTTTATGGGTACACTGTATAGTCAAAACCAAACACCATATCAAAGGAGGGAAAATATGATTTAAGAAGGAACCTCAGTGGAAACCAAGAGAAATCATGGCAAATGGTAATGAAGCTTGTATGTGTGCTTAATTCATAGGAAGGATGCAATAATGAGAGCATTTAAAAGCAAAACTCAACTCACTGCATTTGCTAATACCCATTACATTTGCTCAGATCTGCTGTTAAGTTTTAGCTGATGCTAATAAAAATCACTACTGATTTTGTCCAAAAATTGGGAAATTGAACTATGCTGATTTATGGTCACTGACTAAAACTCTGTCCAAATAATCTAGAGAAAAACACGACTTGCTAACCACAGATGACTTAGTTGACTAGTAGCCAGTTGCAGTGATAACTTGGTGCGTGATTTTTGCTCTATGTTACTATCTTTTTTTCAGGTAACATGAGGGAATATGATGTTTGAATTATAAATTTTATTGTGGATATAATGCTTTCAAATAAAGTAGAAATGTTACTTAGATTGTCCTATACCATTCACCAATTATGTTCCTTTGGGGGATACTTTTGGAAAGTCTTTTGACACCCAGATTGTGGAATATGACAAATAGAGTTTCAAGGAACATAATTTTTTTTATCAATACTGTGAAAGTAAATTTACCAATGTCAAAATTACTACATTACAAGGTAATATCACGAAGAGAAGAATTGTTAAACCAAATGTGGATGATAAAAGAAGTATTTTTCCAGGAGACTGTTTGCAAATGGAAGTCATTTCAGGAGGATAATGAAGGATTCGTGAATGGACCAGAGAAGCCACCTATTTGATGGAATATCACAGGCATTAACAAAGACAGGAGAGAAGGTTTGAGCCATTTCTCAAGGAAGGTGGTTGGATAAGCTCAGTGGCCAGGTGCATTAGTGGTCTATGCCAGGGAGGTGCACTTATGAGGACAACATTACAAGTTTAAGCTGAAGCAGAATGACATCAGACAGTGTGGCCTTTACTCCTGTTCTCTGTGTTCCCAAGTAATACATATCAGCAGTGAAATTATCTCCTTTGTGGTTCAAATTGTCAGGATTAAAAGAATAATGTTAAAAATCAACACTCGGGGCTTCCCTGGTGGCACAGTGGTTGAGAGTCCGCCTGCCGATGCAGGGGACGCGGGTTTGTGCCCCGGTCCGGGAGGATCCCACATGCCGCTGAGCGGCTGGGCCTGTGAGCCATGGCCGCTGAGCCTGCGCGTCCGGAGCCTGTGCTCCGCAACGGGAGAGGCCACAACAGTGAGAGGCCCGCGTACCACAAAAAAAAAAAAAAAAAATTCAACACTGTGTCATTGCAATTGGGGAGGCAATGGTAGTTTTATATTATCTTACCTAAAATCCTGTGTTAGTAGGAACATATGCCATGATATATGATTACGGTTATGTCCAACCACCACGGGGAATCTGAAGAGTTTTCAAAAAAAATGACCTCTAGTAACTACCCCAGGTGTTACAATTATGGGTACATAGGTTAAGCACATGAAAAGAAAATATATACTATAATTTTAACTTATGCATCATACGTCAAATATTATGTTGAAGTCCCTATTTTATTAACTTTAGTATTACATTAAAATCAACTTCTCAGGCCAATCAGAATTAGAAAATATTGGGGGATTTATCTGAAGCTCTTGATCGATGTCATGCGTATCAATATATATAGATTGGTCAGAAGAAGGCTTAAGAAATATCAGACACACCTTCATTAACATACACAAAAAGTCCAAATAATCCTTGGTGGCAGAGAAAGAGAATAATCAAGCTGATAAAAGTATCAAAATGCCTGTGAAGGGATAGAGTCATTACTAAAATGATATATATAAAAAATAATTCCCATTTTCCATTAGATAGGTCAAATCCCAGGAGTCACTGGAGTGTTTACAGACTTGTTTGTATAAAATCTTGGGGGAAATATTTTCAGGAGATATGTTTTAAGACAAATTAGGAAAAGATACATAGAAATATTTGGCAAGACGATATTGATCAAGATCAGAGGGTGGATGGTGTAGTAAGGCTAACAGCCAGGCTTTGATTTATTTCCTCCTACTTGGGGACAGTAGAGACTACAGTTGAACTAGATCAGACCTCCTTGTAATTAAGCTGATGACATTTATAAATGGGAATATACGTAAGAGTTCTTTTAAATAAATTCATTTTGGCAAGACATGACTTGTCTATCTGACTCTCTTATTGTAAATAAACCCAGAATTTAAGGATTTATAGAACATGATCAGCTGGAGAATGAAAGTTAGTCAAACACAAGGGTAACAATGCTAAAAGAAAAAAACCTTTATCTAACAGTAATTTTATGGACACTTGGTTAGGTCTCCATGTTTTCAACATCCCAATGTGGGAAAAAGGAATACTTAGAAATTGCTTCTGATGGTTTTGGTCTCTCCAGAAAGAAGTTGGCGCTTCTATAATATTTGAATTCTCTGAATAGTTCCTAAAGTTTGGTGTTGGAGAAAATCTATGATTTATGTGAGTCTGTTTTGACAATTCAATTATTTTATGGTAATGCAGCAAGGTTGCTTCAACATTTTTAAAACTCAATGTAAATTACCACATTAATAATGGAGAATATATAATCAACTCAATAGAATCAGGAGAATCACTGACAAAATTCAATACATATTTATGATAAAAATACATATCAGAAATTTTGAAACAGAAAGGCACTTTCTCAGTTCAATAAATATGTTTAAAATGTCTAACATCATACTTAACTGTGAAATATTGGATATTTTCCTCTAAGATCAGGATATCTAATCTCACCACCTCTTTTCAGCATTATAGTAGACACCATAGCTACTGAACATAGTATGAGACAATAACTCATAAAGGTTGGAAAGGATGATCATAAGTAGAAAACCTAAAATTATCTACAATAAAAATACTATGACTAATAAGTAAACTTACCAGTGTCACAGGATCAAAGTTAATACACAGAGAGAACTGTATTTCCACATGCTAGCACCTAATCAGTGGAAAACAAAAAAGAAAATAATACCATTTAAAATAATATTAAAACATTTAAAAATAAATTTAACAAATATTGTCTATGACATCTATTCTGATGATTATAAAATATTTTTAAGGGAAATTTAAGATAGGTGGATAAACATATCATTGTTCATGGAATTAAAGTCTCTCTCAATCTTTTAAAGATGTCAATTCTTACCAAATCAATATACAGAAACAGCACAGTCATAATTATAACAAAATTTATAGATACAGTCTAATCATAAAATTATATGAAAATGCAAAGAATTTAAAAGAGCCAGTAAAACCTTGGATTTTAAGGCTCACTTTAAAACTACAGTAAATAGTATGGAATTGGTATAAATAATGATAATCAGATTAATATGAAATAAAATTGATCAATGGAACAGAATAATCAGATATAGATTCATACACATGCTATCTTGACATTCAACAATGGTCTCAAAGAAATAAAATGGAGGGAGAAACAACTTTTCAATTAAGTGGTACCCAAAACATTAAAATATCTGTTGAGAAAAATAAATGAACCATGATCCTCTTCTCACACAACACATAAGAACTAATTCAAGAAGGATCATAAATCCAAACATAAAATATAATGACATAAAGGATACTATAAAAATCATGAGAAAATACTTTCATCACCTGAAGACAAAGTATTTCTTACATAGAGAGGGCACAAAAAGCACTAAGACAAAACCACAAAACTAAACCAAAACAAACGAACAAATATTCCATGAGTTGGGCTCATTGAACAAAGTCATTAGGATTAGAAAATATTGACTCAGATAAGAATAAAGTATTTATTATGTATATCTGACAAATTACTTGTATCTAAACTATATAAAGTAAGCTACAATAGTGAAATAAAAAGATGTAAACCCGGGCTTCCCTGGTGGTGCAGTGGTTGAGAATCCCCCTGGTGATGCAGGGGACACGAGTTCGTGCCCCAGTCCGGGAAGATCCCACATGCCGCAGAGCAGCTAGGCCTGTGAGCCATGGCCACTGAGCCTGCACGTCCAGAGCCTGTGCTCCACAGCGGGAGAGGCCACAACAGTGAGAGGCCCGTGTACCGAAAAAAAAAAAAAAAGAAAGAAAGATGCAAACCCAATTTCAAAAAGAATAGCCTAAGACGTTAAACTTATAGTTCACAAAAATTATATACAAATGGCTTAAATGGGCATGGAAACATCACTAGTCCCCAGAAAAAGGCAACTTTAAGCTATAATGAGACATACATACCAATGATTATAGCTGAAATCTTTAAAATCTCACGATATTAATGTTTGTGAGACTGTGGGACAATTGCAACTTGCATACATTTTTATACAAGTCTTTTCAAAAAATATCTGACAGTTTCTTTTAGACTAAACATACACCTAACCTATGACCAAATTATTCCAACTCTAGGTGTTTACCAAAAATCAAATTAAAACAAATGCCCATGAAAAAAGAAATGAAACATATGATCACGAAAATATATTCACAAGAAAGTTTTTAGCAGCTTTATTTATAATATATACAACATAGAAATGCTCTAAAAGTCCACTAATAGGAGACTGGGTAATCAAACTGTGACAGAATCACAAAATACAAGTCTAGACAACAACTACAAAACAAACAAACAGCAATTGATTCATGAAGCAACATGGATGCTTCTAAAATACAAAGTAGTATATACTGAGTATTACTAACTTCACAAAATTTCAAAGAAGGCAAAATAATCCACGGTGGAAAAATAAAGTATAACCATGTTGCCTTGGAGGAGCATGGGTTATCTGGGAAGAGGCATGCAGGAAATTTCTGGGGTGATGTTATGCTATCTATCCTGATAGGAGTTTGGGTTAACAGATGCATACATCTGTCAAAATGCATTAAGTGGTGTACATAAGTTTGCTGAATTTCACCCTATGTAAATTTTACCTGAGAAAACTGTAAATAAACATTAAATTCCTATCGGTGATATGTCTGTTAATATGTTTAGGGATGAAGTTTACTGATTTTGTCAGCCTATGTTGAAATGCATCTAAGTAGAAGAGGAATTGATGAATGTATGGTTAAAGGACTGAATAGACAGATAGATATGTGAACTAAATATAGTAAAAATAGTTTTTGTAGAATCTTGGTAATAAGTATATGGGTGTTCATTGGGAAATTTTCTGATGTTTTAAAAGTTTTCATAATAAAATGCAAAAAAATGAAAAAGAGCAGTAAGGATTTTACATAAAAAATTAATCCCACATCAATCAACATAAGGAAAATACTGGAACATCAATTATTAATACTGTAATTAAGATATTTCAGACATTGTAGATATTGCATTAAATATGGAAGTGCAAAGCCCTATATATATATATAATACATATATTTGAACATCACAAGGTAACATAATAGTTATTTGAATTAGTAAAATAATGTCCATACATAAAATAACTAGTGATACAATGTAAATGCTTTCCCAAAGATCAGTGAAACCTATTAGAAAGCCTAGCAATAGACCGTTGTGGGACTATAAGCTAACAATTCTGAGAACATTATACACAGATACTGGAACAGAACAATTAAGTAAATGGATGTCGGACAGTGTGTGCTAGATTCCTCACTGTTGGAGGAGCGGAGTTATAGATAAGAAAGGGGAAGAGACTAAAATCATCAAGATGATAATGCATTAGAATTGAGGACTTCTGTGTGAATTCATGTTAGCTTAATACAGACACAGAGGGAAACACATAAAGCTATTTAGAGGTACATGTATAAACACAGGTGACTGTACACATATATTCCTTTTTCTGTCCTTTGAGTAGGTCTAGAAGCAACAACACCTCAGTAGCAATGAGTACCCAGATCTTGTTGTTTTTTTTTAATCCATTTTCCAATGAAATTGCTGACTCGAGTGCCTTGAAATATAGAAGATGAGGCTGAAGCATCTTGTAGTACCAAAAAGTAAGAAAGTACTTACAAACAAAAAATATAAAACAACAAGAAACAACCCACAATGATAGGGGTATATCAAAGGCATACAAGGGCCATCTCAATAGGTAAAGTTGGAATACTTTGAGAAACAAAAGAGTATTGGATTATATCTCAAAATATAAATACATATGATGCATACAGGTATAAATAAGCAATTGAATAAATAGATGGGATGAAGAGATAAGTGTCACCTACGGAAAAATTATAAATCATTTATGAAGATACTCTGTTCTCAAAAAGGGAGAACATCACTCCCAACTCACTGAGTATGGGCTATACAGTGACTTCCTTCCAAAGAGTATAGTATGGACAAGGAAAAAAGAATAACTCTCCAGTGGAGAAATCTGCCAAGTGCTACTTCATCCAGGTGGTTAAGATGAACACCAACAATGATAAGACATGGTGATAGCATGAATCCTTAATACAATATGATGAACATGGCACTTTACCTATGTTTTCTTCCAAAACACATAATCCCAGTCTAATCAAGAGGAAAAATATCAGACAAATACCAATTGACAGGCATTCTTAATGTACCTGAAAGACACTCCTTGAAACTGTCAAGGACATCAACAAGGCAAGTCACAGAAACTGTTACACTCAGTTGGTACCTAAGCATACATGACAACTAAATTTTGTGTGGAATTCCGGATGGGATCTTAGAACAGAAAAAGGACTTGGAAGAGAAAAAGGTTTTCCTTAGGAAAAAAGTAAGGAAATCTCAATAAAGTATAAATTATAGTTAATAATAATATAACAATGTTGGTTCATTAATTGTATACCATACTAATATAAGATTTCAAAATTAGGGGATACTGTGTATGGGGAGAATGAGAATTTACCATACTAATTTTGTACTGTTTCTGAACATGTAAAACTGTTCTAAAATAAAACATTTATTTAAAAATAAGGTAATACAAATTCCATGTTCCTCATAGGAAACCAAGTCTAAATGATTATACAAATTCTACCCAATTTCCAAAGAAAGCATCACTGTAGCATTATTTAAATTTTTCTAACCCATGTACAGCAAAAGGAGTGCCCATCTGATTTTTCCAACTCTCAAAATTATGACGCCTTAACTAGACATGCACAGATTTAAAAAATATTATATGGGGGGGGTATGAGTTATGAAATAAAATGCAACAATGTTAAAAGTACCATATTAGTTTCCATTTGCCATTGTAACAAATTACCACATATTAAGTGGATTTAAACAATACAAATTAATTATTTAATAGTCTTGGAGGTCAGAATTCTGTAATTAATTTCACTGGGTTAAAACCAACATATAAGCACAGGTGTATTCTCTCTGCAGTCTCTATGGGAGAATCAATTTCTTCATCTTTCCAGCTTCTAGAACCTGCGGGTAGTCTTTGGCTCATGTCCGCATTACCCCAACCTCTGCTTCCATCATCACATCTCCTCTGAATCCCACCTCTTGCCTCCCTCTAATGAAGACTTGTCTTTATGATGCCCACATTGCACCCATATGGGCAATCCAGGATAATCTTCCCATCTCAAGATCCTTAACTCAATCATATCTGCAAAGCCCCTTTGGCCATGTAAGGTAACATATTCAGTTCCATGGGTTAGGATGTAGACATCTTTGGGGAACCATTATTCTAAGCTACTAGGTACATATGAAAATATTGGTATGGAAACATCTATAACGAGTATCCTAAAAAACCAGTTGTTTGCTGACTAGGTTAGTTTGCTTTGTTTTATGACTTCAAATGATCATATGCAATAACTGGTTTATGCACTTTTTAGATTCCTGTGTCATGTACCATCAATATGTCCTTAATATCTAACTTTTAAACCATATTTTAAGCTTCAGTGTTTACAGTCCATGACATAATTGTTCTGTCCTTGTATTCCAAGTACTTAACGTATTGTCTGGTACCTTTAGAGCATTCACCAAATGAATGCTACACATTAAGATTACATTTTATTTTATTGATCAGAATTCATGTTTTGTAAGGACATGATTATTTTAAG